ACAAACTGTCTAATCGCAATAATGTTCTTTATGGCTGCTGAAGGGCACCGTGCTCCAAATGATTACAACTTCGAGAATATATGAACAATAGTAAATGAATAAATCAATAAAAAAAAAAAAAAAAAAAAAAAAAAAATAAAAAATAAGATTGGTTTTGTGAATTCATCGATTATCAGATGTTATTAGAAAAGTTGATCGCATTATTTGCGATTACATAATTATTTAAATTTCAAAATACTATAACTCGATAAAATATCGATGAAGAGATACTTTGTATAACTGCTCATTAAATTCGTATTGACATTCTTTTACAATATTTGTAAAATATCGATTATCATTCAAAATAAACCATTATAATTTCGTTATCATAATCGAAAAATAATACCATCAATGCCATCTATGAAATAGTACCAATAAATATTACATACTATCTACCTTGAAACCTAGTAATAACTTTTATTTAAAACACTTTTTTATAAAACCTATAAGCTAGGATGTCTTTGATTATATTATTTAAAATAAGACACCCACGTACACCTACCCATCTTACATACATACATACTTACACACATATACACACATTCTCTACTATCATACATATACACACGTATATACGTATACATATACACACACTCTCTACTATCTTTCTCTCATTGTCAGACAGAATCAAAAAGAATAGAATTTGCTAATCGGTAATTATTATAGCGACTATTTTTATCTCTCGTTTGATCGAGAACACCCCCTCACTCCTAAGTAGAAACACTGCTACACCTGTTCCTTTCTTTCCTCATCCACTTATCCCAGTTATTTTAATTGGATGGATCTAGAAGAATAAGAAGAAGAAGAAGAAGAAAAAAGAGAGCAAGAGGAATAAAAAGAAAAGAGAAAGAAAAAAATTGCAAAATATTTTTTCGGGGGATGGGGGGTAAGAATGGAGGGAGGGGAAGGGGGTGGGCGTGCGTGACGATGCGTGCGCGTTCGTCTTCTGCGTGTCTGACTACCGATCGATAACACTTTTAGTTTAACCATGCGAATATATCGTGCCACGAGTGGTTCGCGCTTTCGATGAGCATGCTGACCAATCGATACGGAATGTTAAACTTCGTTGTACAATTAATTAGGTGAATAACGGATGAACCATGATTTAAAAGGAAAACGAGTCGATGATGAAGACATGACGACGAGAAAAAAAAGAGACAGGGAAAGAAACGAAAAAAAAAACAAACAAACAAACAAAAAAATTGTCGATGACGATGTCGATGATGAATATCCTTCTAATGAAGAAACTTGAAAGCTCTCCGCGATGTTTTTCATGAAGAAAGCACACGCGTTTCCACTTGGCGGCTTCTTTTCTCCCATGAGAAAGAAGAAAAAGATAAACGAAAACAAACGTAGGTAAAAAAAAAAAAAAGAAATAGAAAAGCAAGAATAAAATAAGAACAGTCGATGGATGAACAAGTTAATGGAAGAGGGTTAATAAGGGAGGGGAAAAAGCACGTGACGTTATGTGGATTAAAACTCTCGAATGACTAATCGAAAAAATTTTTCCTTCCCTTAAAGTAAGAATTTTTGAATTTATAAGATGAAGAATATGAAGAAGAAGAAGAAGAAGAAGAAGAAGAAGAAGAAGAAGAAGCGAAGGAGGAGGAATAATAATAAAAAGAAAAATAAAATCTTCCGGGTAATGGAATATTCTTGCTCACGTTGATCGACTTTTATATTTTTCTTTTCTTTACTTTTCTTTCTTCTTTTCTTTTTTCTTTTTTTTCTTTTTCTTTTTTCTTTTTTTCTATTTTTTACGTAGAAACGAACGAGCTTCTTAAGCACCCATAAAAGCGTGCGACACTATCTATATTATACGCTGGGGCAAATGTGTCGTTGCAGAAAACTTGTGTTTGTAACGAGCCATCGTAAAAAGTGAATAAGCGGTGTGTCTCTCTCTCTCTTTCTCTCTCTCTCTCTCTCTCTCTCTCTCTCTCTCTCTCTCTCTCTCTCTCTCTCTCTCTCTCTCTCTCTCTCGAACGTGAATTGTTAAATGAGAAATTAATCTTAGTTATGAAGAATTTCAAAGAGAGCGAGATAAGTAAAGAAATAAATAAATAAAACAATCAATAGGACGGACGGTCAACTTACTTAATGAAAATAACGAGCTATCATATATATATATATATAGTGTGTCTTTCTCTAATTCGTTGCTTCGTTGACTGCCTTTGTGGCACGTTGAAACATTGAAATAACTCGATAATGTTAGACATTATTATCGCTCCTGTGCTCGCATTCTCTCTATCATTCCGAGTTTTTTTTTTTTTTTTACAATAACACAAAACAGAAAAGGATTAACAAAAAAAAAAAGCAAATAAAAATAAAAATAAAAGAAAAAAAAAGTCGTCAGACGTATCTCGTACTCGACAATTTTCAAAGCTTTCGCGAAGAAATACGTCGTGACCTTCGAGAGAAACTCGGACGATAACTTGGCTCTTAGTTGAGAAAGAGAGAGAGAGAGAGAGAGAGAGAGAGAAAGAGAGAGGGAAAGAAATAGAGAAGAATGGCAGCGTTGTAAGCAGGAAAAACCTAATCTATATACATACATATATATATATGCGCCGTTATGAGAAAAATTTACATTACCGTTTCTCCTCTATTACACCCTCTACAGACAAACGACGAATCTTTTTCTGTTATTATCATTATCATAATCACTATTCGTATTTTCTCGTTATTGCGGTTAAAACGATCAACGTATGATTGACTCCATACAAACAAATTATTTTCTAACGCTACTTATTCTAACTCGTACATCAAAAGGTAAAGAACAAGAATAAGAAAAAGAAAAAAAAATAATAGAACAGAATAGAAAATACGACAACCAATAACACAAATCTTCGAGTTAATTTAATCTAAAAAAAAAAAAATAAAAAAAGAAAAAAGAAATTGGTATTATTCGTTATCTATTTAAATCAGTAGACGAACACATTAATAGAAAAAGAAAAAGTAAGAGAGAGAGAGAGAGAGAGAGAGAGAGAGAGAGAGAGAGAGAGAGAGAGAGAGAGAGAGAGAAGGGGAATAGGGTGGGGATGAAGTGGAAGGGGAGAGGAGAGAGCTCGAAGAGAGCTTACGATAAGACCTTCTACCAAGAATATAGTTAACGAAAGGAGGACACACGAATAGAATCGATCGTCTCTCTTATCGTTCCTAGCATCCAAATTCTCCCCGATGTACCAATGAGATAACACCTTTGATACGTGCTTCGATATCGTAATGACGTAATAATTAGATTTTCTTGAAATATTATTTCGAAAAAAATCGTTCCTAATTACCTCGTTTGGCTAATAAAAATTCCAGAAATTATAAATCGATTAAAATTTCAAAAATCTTAAATTAAAATATTTCTTATTTTCTCGTTATATATTTTGAACGAATTACGAAGGCAAGTAAAAGAGAGTTTTCGTGCATTCTCGATAAATTATAAATATCGCAATTAGTTTCTGCAAATTATTTTCTTTTTTCCTTTTTTTTTTTCTTTTTTTCTTTTCTTTCTTTTTTTTTTGTTTTCTAAAAGACCTTACACTATTATTAATCTCTCTCGCATTATTATCTTAATTAACATCCATCGATAATTGCTTCCTAACTAACATCGAAGAAAACTGAATTTCAATTATAATCAACATGTTAATTACTAAATTAAAAATATTAAAATAAAAAGAAAAATAAATTGAAAATCGTGTGTATCGAAGAACGATCGACACGATAACATTCGCGAAGATAAATCATTATATTTTCGTTGAATAAAATAACTCAACTATACTTCCGAATTATTCAACGACATATAGTCGAGATATAATGCGTTCGTTTGACGAATCGCATCCATTATCGTCGAACATGTACAGGATGAGCGAGCGAACTCATCGATTACGTTAACTGTCATTAGACCACGTGTTTCCGGCTCGAAAAACGGTTTGCATTGATTACAATCTATCAGTAAGTGTATGCCGAACGTAACAGGGTGCGGTTAAGCTCTGTTACGTCGATTAACTTCATTGACCTCAAAATTGGAATCAAGTTACGATAAACAGACAGGTATGTATCTCGTTCGAACTGACCTATATCATTAGGAATCATTCAAATTGAACTACGTTACGCAAGGTTGCGTTCTCTCTTTCTATCGTAACGAATGATTTTTTGTCTTTCCTTCGATTAAAACTACGACTCACCGATATTCTCAACGAAAAATCCATTTCCACGTTTTTAACTATATCGTCACAGATTCGATTTCTATATACTCACCTGAAACAAAACAAAAGATTATCTTAATTTACGTTCAAAATATGTATATATATATATATATATATATATATATATATATATATACACACATGTATTTATATATATATGTATATATATATATTGTACGTGTATGTACAATATATATAAAAAGAGAGATGACGACAGTCGACGCGCAACGATTAAAACAAAAACATCATTTTTTTTTTTTTTATTTATATTGATCTTGAACTTAGGGCCATCGAGGGAAGTAATCGATAAAAATTATTAAGCGTCATTGAACCGACGTCGTACCTTACAGGACGATAATTAGACTATGAGCGATTGGATTACATACGGTCACATGGCAAATACGAGATCAATCGACCGAAAGATTAACACATCGGTAAAAAGCGAATACTGATAAGAATGTCATTATATTTGTCGATTTCGTCAAGCATATATTTCTTATCCACCTGCAAATACATCTATCGATGTTTACGAGCTAAGAAAATATATTGTTCTTGTGAAAACATAATAATACAAACGGGTCGACTAATCTTGTACGATAAGGCTTCCTTATCGAAATGAAACACTGTTAAATATCTTCCCCAACTCTTTTTCTTCCCCAGTCTTGCTTTATGAATAATAAATAAATAAATGAATGAATGAATGTATAAATAAATAACTAAATAAATAATAAAATGACACTTTTTCATCATTCATGAAAATAAACTCACATAGCCAGACGTTGCCACGGGGTGCCGTTTGAAGAATGTTGAAGCGTAGATTAAAATCGAGACCAGCCAAGTCCTGACGCAAACGACTGCTATCCATAATTAGTGCTCTTTCTGGTAGCAGGAAAAGATGATCACTTCCCTCAAGGGGTCCCAGACTTCGGGGCACCCCTAGAGGTCCAGAACGGGCCGTCAACATTCTGCCAAGGCGTTCGCAGTCTCTACTAGACCCGACCTCGACCTCGACCTCACGTTTAAGCTCACGACCAACCACCGTACTAGAATACCCCTCCTCCTCATCCTCGACCAGTGATCGCTCGAGACCCGACACCCTGCCGATCGACGGTTTCGACAACTTTTCAAACTAGTGGACTTACGACAACTAAACCAATCGAACGATCTTTCCCACCAAGTCCATTTATTTATTTATTCTTTTTTTTTGTTCTTTTTCTTTTCTGACGTTTTTATGACGTTTTATTTCTCCTTTCGATATATTAACTTTAATTCCTATTACGTTCCTGCGGTTTGATCGTGCGTGAAATAAACGACGATTCCTCTTTATGAGAATGTTATGGAATATTTTTTTTTCTTTTTTTTTTCTTTTTTTTCTTTTCTTTTCTTTTCTTTCTTTCAAGATTTTAATTTCTTCGTTTGTATTCTGTTACATTCGTACTTCGTATCAGCGAATTGTAAACTGATAAACAAACATATGTTTTTGAGAGTTCGTTGAGAAAACGAGTCTCGATATATATATATATATATATATATATATATATATATATATACACACACATATATATGTATGTATATATATATGTATGTATATATATGTATGTATATATATATATATATATATATATGTATGTATATGTAAAAATCGGAAAAGATTCAAATTTGATCCGAGTATTTGTCGAGTCTGAAAAATACGGGAGAGTTACGTTTGTAAATAAATAGGATTAATTCGTACTACGCGTGGGAAGAATTCAAGCTAATTAATCCTTCCACATAGTACTGTACAGGTCTCCTTCAAAAATAGTCAATGAGTGGCGACCTACTATTGAACTTTAACTCAATGTCACAGTATCATATTTTGTAAACGAGTGGCTTCCTAAAGTGTAAAAACAAGCGACGCGTAAACATCCATCTCAATTTATTAAAGACTAAGTAAGATGGAAAATACTGATCTTCCTCGTTAATTGAAAGCTCAGTGATATAGAAGGAGAGTCTTCTCGTTATTTTAATGAATTTTGCGACCTCATCGAGTCGACGAATGTTCCGGAGCAGTCGAAGATAAGAGAAAGAAGGAAAAGCCAAGTGGAAAAATCGAAGTGAACGAAGAGACGAGGGTCGAACGAGATGGGGTTTGCTCGACACATGCGTATTTCGAACGACGCCAAAAGCAAAAGTACTCTCGTCTGCTTTTATTCGCCGATGCGAACGAGACGTCACTACGAATATTTACAATTTGACAAATTAGAAACGTTTTCTGATTTTCATTGACAAACAAAAGGTAGCAAAAAATAAAAAAAATATATATATATAATATAAAATACTTGAAAATTCGTTGCCTGTAAGACTTGCTCCATGTAAGTTCATTTTCCTGTTCGACATCGAACAAGAAAATTGGAAAAAAAGAAAAGAAAAAAAAAAGAAAAACAATACAAATATAGTCGATAGAAATATGAACTACGCTATTAGATAGTTACTATATTTTATACGAATATAAAATTCTTGATCTAAATTCATCGTGTTATTGGCAAATGTTATCGCCAACTACCAACGGGACGACAATCAAATATCGACGAAATAAATTCAAATTCTGGCAAGTAATAGAGCATTCCACTATTTCGATACTTCTCATCTCGTATTAACGTAACGATCACGATGCATTAGAGTGAAATAGCTTTAAACGTAATAATATATGAGACCTGTAAAGTTTCTACATGTATATATAAATATGAATCGGTCTATCGAAAGTAAGTTGTAATTACAGATACTATCTCTATCTTTTTATTTCCGACTAGGAATACTACGTAATAATAATAACACCTATTTATCGCTATGCATCGAGCTACTGTCAGAAAACAATAAAAATATTCTCGTGCGCGCGTACACGTGACTTGTGAAAACAAAGGATTAAGCTGATTATTTAATAATAATTTTATGTTCCGAAAAGAAAATTAATGATTCGTCAAATTTTAATTTCCTTTTATCGTCCAACCTATAACGAATTACGCACTGTTGCGCGCACTAATCAAAATCGATGTATCGAAATTTAAAATAAACGCGTTTTACGATCAAGAGATGTGATATAAAAGACACTCGAGGCGCGACGGTCGGCGCTCAACTGTGAGCACGTCGAGCCTTGCTCGTGTATACTGTGTATCGCGCCGAACGTGCCGAACGATTGTCCGAAGATTAACGAAGATGCCCGATCTCTCGCAGATTCACCGATGAACGAGAAAAATGTATTTTTTTTTTTTTTCTTTTTTTTCTTTTTAATATTCATAAAAACGAAAGTATTTATTATATAATTTTTGTTTGTACATACGTTCGATCGTGACCACCCTTTTCATTAATTTCTCACAACTTATATTACCTTTTTTGCCCAAATATGTATGTAATGTATATTATATATGTCTTATATATATATTATATATATATATATATATATATATATAGAGTTAATAAAAAAAAAAAAGAAAAAAAAAGGAAAGAACGATTTCTCCGACATTTCTTTATCCGAGAATAAAAAAAAAGAAAAAAAAAGAAAAAAAAGAAAAAAGATCACGTGATAAATGACTCCAAAGAGCGGGAAGATTCGATTTCTTGAACGTGTACAAGTTCACATTTACTCGACACTATCTCGTCGATGATGCGAGAGCATAGGCTCGTCGTGTTCGTTCCCCTGTTCCCTTGCTCTCCCATCCTTGCGATTCGGTTAGTATTAATCCATATAAAGTGATCGTCGAAAGAGGCATCGAGGAATCATCGTAAAGACTTGACACGCGAGGCACGCACACGGAAGATCGAAAGTCATTAGTAATAGTATGCTTGATCCTTCCTCTCTTCATATATAACAGTATATATACATATATATATGTATAATCCATGGATGAAATTTCTGCCACGCTGAATTAGCCCAATACATCGACGTTCTACTTATGATCTAAACGACGATGTAATGACCCGTTACTTTGATATTTTTTTTCATATTAGAAAAAAGTGAAATGACCGTGCAAAAAGATGCATCATTTTGTTCTCGTATTCGTATAAAAAAAGAGACGAATAATCATATTCAAAGATCCTCGTAATTCTTTATTGTTCTTCGTAAATCCTCGAAGGACATCGATCTCTCCTTCTGCCTTCCCCCCTCCACCCACCCTCTTTCTTTGTTTCTAGAAGGAAAGAACGAAGGAAGGAAGGAAGGAAGGAAGAAGAAAGATAGACATAGAGAGAGAGAGAGAGAGAGAGAGGCGAATGATTTCCTTCTTACGTATATAATCCTCTCTGGTTTCGCGGAATTCCAAGTTTCGCGAGGAGAAAAGGATTGGTCCGGCTCGAAACGAGGCGAAAGTCAAATAACGGTCTAGCCATTAAGCATAACGACTTTTTCAGCGACGCGGCAGGTTTAAAACTCGTGCAAAGCGTGCACGAGTTCGTAACTTCGCCGTATCTTTCTTTCTTTCCTTCTTTCTTTCTTTCTTTCTTTCTTTTTTTTCCTCTACTTGTTTATCGCGCGTTTAGCCAGGTCGACGAAACGTTCGTTCGTCGAGAGAGTTAGCAAACGTTCGATCAGTTCTTGGAAAGCGTTCGCATACGCGGAAAATATGTAGTTCGGTATGCCTTAACTCTGCAAAGAGAGAAAGAGAGAGAGAGAGAGAGACAGACAGAGAGAGAGAAAGAGAGAGAGAGAGAGAGAGAAATACGTTTCGAAAGGCATAAAAGCTAGGCCCGTGCAATAAATCGTAAACGGCGATGACGGTTGCACGTTCTTTCTATCTTTTCTATATTTCTTTATTTCTATATATTTCTTTGAGTATACAACGAAACATGATGATATTCTTTAGCTTACGATTTCTCGCTTACTCGTGGCCGCCACCACCGCCGCCGACTCATACCACCCACGTGCCTTTCCGCTTCGCGATTCTTACACGGCTATACCGCGTGTGCGCCACAGTACCGTTCCTCCTATCTTTTCTCCCTTCTCCCTTCTGCCCCTCCCTCTCTCTTCCTTTCTTTTATTCTCTCTCCCTTCCCTCTCTTTCTCGCTCTCGCTCTGTTTGTGTGTATATCTCTCTGTGTGCACACATATATATATATATATATATATGCAGAATTTTATGTCTTTCTTTTTGGTCTGTCACATCAGCTGCATCCTTCTTCCTTCGGTGACGATGGACTTCGATGCATCGAACCAACCCGTTAAAGTGAGAACGAACTTGAAAGCAGAATTTTTATTCTAATTGTTTTCTCAATGATTCTATATATAGGTAGACCGGAAAGTAATGTCGTTTCTGCGCATGTCGATATTTGATTGTGATTAAAAATAAAAACTTGATAAAAATTTATTGGTTTGAATTTAATTTAAGAAAGCGACATTACTTTCTGGTCCACCTAATATATATATATATATATATATATATATATATATATATATATATACACACACACACACACTACGTAGACCATGACCTAGAACTAGATAGATCGAGAAAATAAATATAATGGTAATGCAGAATCAAGGAAAATTTGAAATTACAAAAGAGAATAGGAAAGTTTCGATTTGACGAGGCTTTATTCTTTTCTCTCTTAACTTATGATCGTTCCAAATGAAAAACGACCGCCGTAACAAACATCGTTTCGGTATTTTGCAAGAGTTTTAAACTTAATAATGCTGGATTTATAAAGCTTTCTCTTATTAACGCATTGCGAAACGCATTCCTTGCTCATAACCTACTCTCGATTCAACTATACACACACACACACACACACACACTTTTCCAATCGAATTTTCTTATCACTACATTTTGTCAATTGCTTCGTCTATTACGAAGGAAAAAAAAAAGAAATAAACTATTACTAGGTTTATTTGTTTGGTTGTTTTCTTTTTTCTTTTCTCTATTTTTTTTTCTATTTTTTTTTCTTTTTTCTTTTATAGTTGTAGAAGACTGATCTTACGCAGACGATATCACAGAAATATTCTCAACAAAATACTCTAAATATATCTATATCTATTACAGATTTTGTTTGAAAGAAAAGAAAAGAAATATAGTTATTAGTTAATCATAGCATTTGTTAGCATCATAATTTAAGATAGATAAATAGATAGATAGAGAAAGAGAGAGAGAGAGAGAGAGAGAGAGAGAGAGAGAGAGAGAGAAAGAGAGAAAGAGAGAGTATCGAGTTACTTCCACGAGTTTTAAATCTATCATAATTATTTAGATTTAATGATAGTTTCAATTAACGTTACACTAGAATCGTTCTTTTAAGAATCACGAATTTGATACTTTATTGCCGTTATCTAAGAAACGTAAGCATATGACTGATACACGTCACAAGTGTCTCATTTCAAATGTAGTAAACATAAAGAATCTAGCCACAGAATAAAAAAAAGTGTCAGCATAATTCAAAATCTTATTGAGATTGTCGAATTATTTCATTTTGTTTTTTATTTTTTATTTATTAATTTTTTTCTTTCTTTTTTTTTCGCTTTTGTTCAACATACTCGTTTAAAAACTTTCTTTCCGATGTTCCATCTGCAAGTAATCATTTTTTGTTTTCTTTTCTTTTTTTCTTAAATCTTTGACGCACTTTATACGGTAGATCGATTTATTCCAAAAAAAAAAAAAAAGGATAAAGGAGCTAGAAAATATTCGTGAAATTTTAAGTACGTACGAACGACGTTGAATCTTCGGATAGAAACGGATAATCGGGATTTATAGGGACTCGAATAAAATTTCACCGCGACCGTCCGTCGATCCGATTATGGACCTCGAAGCAATTACCGTACGAAAACGATCTCTTTTAAACCCTCTTTGATTCTTCCAATCTAACAAAACGATGTTCTCTTTCTGTTTTTTTTTTTGTTTTATTTTATTAAGCTTTTTTTTTTATCACGTCTATTAGAAAATTAACTAATAATCCTTGGACAATAATTCCATAAAACAAATGGATCGATTTTAACGAGAGTCGTTAAAAATCTTAACTTTTCAATTTGTAGAGTTATTTATAAAAATAATCACCTGGGGATAAAAAGTCCGAACGGCACGTACGAATTACTCGACACACTTCGTTGGAGACAATAAATTTTTTGCTTTATTTCCGTTCAGCGCAAATGATTTTTCAAAGTTTTTTGTTTTTGCTACTTTACTTTTATTTATTCGTTTATTTTCTCTCGTCAATAAACGACGACGATTATTCCCTAGGAGGAGAACACTCAATCTATTTTCTTCTTCGTTCGACGATTCGATTAATGTGCCTTGTATTCGTACTTGGACCGAACTATGGTTGTCCTTCCTCTGCAATATGAATATACGTACCTTTGCATTCAGTGTCTTACGATTAATATGAAAGAGACGATGTGTCATCGATTCGATCGACATATTTCATCTTTCATTTTATTGTTTCTGTTCGTCATAAAACTCAGTTATCGAAGGAAAAGCTTATTGTAAGGAGATTTCTTTTCTTTTTTCTTTTTTTTCCTGTTTTCTTTTTTTTTCTTTTTTTTGTATTGGAAAGTTACCGGAAGGAAAAATTCTAACTTATAAAATGTAATACGTATACGAGTTTGATCTGGGCCGTATCAAAAGGAGCACGTAGGTCTTCCGATGTTGAAGCAACCGAGCATGGCGGAAGAATAATAAAAAGGATAGCAGTAGCATGCCGAATGTGACCCAGTTGAAAATCCGATCGATCGACCGTATCCCTCTTTATATTGACAATGAACGACATCGAGAGAATACGAAAGAGACTAAGAAAAGAAAAAAAAAGAAAGAAAGAAAGAAAGAAAGAAAGAATGAAATAAAGAAATAAAGAAATAAAGAAAGAAAGAAAAAGAAATGAGAGAAGAAATTTCGTATCCTCGCCAGGTCGTAACTTCCTCGACACCGGGACTTCTCAAATAAATAAAGTTTTCCTTTCGAGCGTCTTACCAATAAACCAGTCAAACTTCCAAAAATATCCACCCTCGTTATTGTGAACTCCTCATAAATTATTTTAGAGATGCAATTATCCTTCTGGAAAATGTCTTCTCAGGTAGAATCCGTGCAGCTGTAGTAAATATTACAAACCGTAGAAAGATTTGTATCATCGACAGACGACGCATCATCGCAATGTCGACATGCCGATAATAAACAAATGTAAAATGTTTATTTCAAATATTAATAACTTTTGTCGTTAATATTTCTCAACTTAACGTATAATATGAATAAACTATCATCCCACATTTCTCCATATAAGCTGAATCGATAATTATTTTCTCAAAAAGATGAACTTTCCTCTCGCCAACACTCGAGAGAGACGACGGGTATCGATTTTTCATCTCCAACCTTTTTAGACGCACCCACGTACGTTTCCTGACGACTTTCTCGCGTTGATTGAAATGAAATATAAAAACGTTTACCTGATCTCCGATCGAACATCATCCGCGATCCGCACTAACAAACACCGTAAACCCATAACGAAACTGCGACCGAGTAAATTCTCAACTTCCGAGAGTTTTTCGTGTATAGTAGGCTTTCAATCGGCAAGCAAGCTATGACTCACCTGTAACAGAAAGAGAAATGACGTCTTAACAGTCGTAATTGACGTTAATTGAAGATATCTGGAACGTTATTTAAAATTAGCGCGAATTTAATTAATCTGCTGGATTTTTTGTTTGTCGATGTTAAGAGAAAACGTTTCAGACGAGATAAGTTATGTTCTATTTTTCACGCGACTCCGATTCGAATATAGTTACTTATTTCTAGATACATTAATAAACACTTACTGAAACAGCCTATTGAAAGATAAATGTTTCAACAAAATATTAAAAAAAGAAAAAGAAAAAGAAAAAAATACAATATCATTGCCTATATTTTATTTTTATATTTATTAATCGCTTTATTCGAATTAAAATAAATATCTCTTTAAACCTGATCGATTCGTCAGAGTTCTGCAGTACCGTCGATCGGATAAAAAAAGTTAGATGATTTGTCCGAAAGTTTACTACTTCCGTCAAACGATGGCGCAGCAATCTAATCGACGCTCGCGCTATCGTACATTCTAGCGGGAGAACTCGGTATCATCCGACGAATTCGAAACGTATGGCGCGCGTATTATCTCTTAGTGCTTTCAAGCGATGGACAATTTTAGAGCTGCCCCCGTGTTAATCCGGCGAGTTCGGAAGAATCGGTTTGTCCATAGACAAAATTAGACATCGAACGAGCCTAGCGCGATTGACGTTCCCATCCAGCCTGAGATCAATCCTATATAACCGGAGTTGGTACAGGCTTGCTACTATCTTATTTCTTTTCTTACTGCTTTTGTTTATATTTCTATTATAGCCGAGTTCAACGACGAGTTCGAAGTCACTGACAGGAAGAGAAAGAGAGAGAAAGAGAAAGAGAATGAGTGAGTGAGTGAGAAAGATAGATAGATAGAGAAAGAGAGAGAGAGAGAGAGAGAGAGAGAGAGAGAGAGAGAAAGGGAGAGAGAGAGAGAGAGAGAGAGAGAGAGAGAGAGAGAGAGAGAGAGAGAGAGAGAGAGAGAGAGAGAGAGAGAAGAGAGAATGAGTGAGTGAGTGAGAGAGAGAGAGAGAGAGAGAATGAGTGAGTGAGTGAGAAAGAGAGAGAGAGGGAGAGAGAAAGAGAGAGAGAGAGTGTGTGTGTGTGTCCCTTTCAAATGTCAAATTAAATCTTTGCACTCACGTATATTTTCGGCTATTTTTTTTAACTAGACTCAAACAAAATAATATATCGAATGTATCTCAATGACAATTTTCCATGTAACAATAATAAATAGATGGATAAATGATTCAAGAAAAAAATGATTCATCGATTTTTTGTCTCCCTCGTCTAAGAACGAGAACGTGCACCTCGAGTATTCTCGGTGTCGTCTTGCGAATCCACGCAAAGCTGCCTTCGATGGCGGCCGCTTTAAACGTGACATCACGCCTGTGCCAAATACTTTCATCGTCTAACGGAAGTCGTTATTTTTATCTTTCCCTTCGCTTCGTTACTGAAAGCGCGTTTATTTCTTAAGATGCAGCGCGATCGACCAAACAGAAATATTCGAAGGTCTTTTCCCATTAAATAGAAGTAGATCAGTACGAGATAAAAGAAGATAAATTGACTCGACACTGAACTCAATTTAAAACGTCAACAAAATGTTGTTTATTTGAGTAAAAATTTGTTAAAGAAAAAAAAAAAAAAAAAAAAAGAAAAAAAAGAAAAAAAAAAAGAAAAAAGAAAGCAAATAGTTCCACGAGTTTATCTCCGTTCTTTTAATACTTCCGATTTACCGATGACTATGAAAGAGAAGCTGACGTAAGCTCCTTCGAGACAGTTCTTTTTACACACGTGATTCAACGACAGTATCAAAGATCGCCCACTTTAATGACTCGATTACTCGCGAATTAGTCGTCGGTTCGTTGCTCACAGCAAAGCCCACGTTTTCCCTCTTATCCAACCTCGGAATTATCTTAAACATTATCTTAGAAGGGTCAGAAGGTTATCCTTAAGGGAGATAAAATATATTAGAAAGGATCTGTCATGATGTTCGAAATGCATAAGAATCAGTTCAATGGCCTAATGGTGAACGTAGTCGAAAGAGAGACTGCGATCTAAACGACGACAGGTTTTACGACGTCCGGAGATTAACGTGATTCCGGTTGACTTGATATCTATCTCTATCTCTTTCTCTGTTTATCTCTGTCTCTCTCTCTCTCTTTCCCTTTCTCTCTCTCTGTCTCACCATTTCTCTACCTCTCTCTCTTTCTTTCTTTCTCTCATCAAGAAATTCTCTTATTTCCTTTCTCGGCTTCCTAGCGAAACAAATTTATTAACCGATAATGACATAACGGTTTTAAACAACCTTGAATTCTCGGTAATTAAATGCATCATTTTTCATTGCGATAACTTCACGCGTACGGAGTTTATTATTAATGTATAAGATTAAGGTAACGTAGTCGGTAACTCTTAATTAAGGAGAAATATGTAAATTAAAAGTATACTTAGAATGCGATCATATGATCTTAAAAAAATCGTAAATAGATCAAGAAATATCAATTTATGCTATCTGCACTTTGTTATTGCAATTTGTAAACATAATAATTTATAAAATTCGTTCGAATCATTAATTTTGGTTTCTTTTTTCCTCTTTTCTTTTCTTTTTTTTTTTTTTTTTTTTTTTTTTTTTTTTTTTTTTTTTTTTTTTTTTTTTTTTGTAATACCTAAGAAACGACGTGTACGAATTAATATTGCTTATACGAAACGCATAAAATTAATCGCATACTTCGCCTTTTATCGCTATCGAAATCGATCGTTATTATCTAATAAAGGTTAAAAAATAAAAAAAAAAAAAAAGCATACAGAGAGAACAAGTTTCAAAGAGTACAGTTATCATGATTTTTTTTTAATTCTAAACTCGTTTCTTTGGAAAATCTATACTAATGAGCTGAGAGAAATCACAGATTTTCTATTCGATATCTACGAAATCATAAATTAATATCTCTGTAATGCTATAAAATGAAAGTTCCAATGAAGATATCGCTACTTCGTCTCGTATCATCTAATCTCTTTTATCTAATCTATTCTGAAAGAATTAAATCGTATATGTAAGACTTATAAACGATTGTATAAAGCTTGGAAGCTTTCACGGTGGTATATGATTCGATGAACAAAACCCAATGCGTGTTCGTGTTGCACGTCGTATACTGATATTCACAGTATTTTTTATTGATCGTGTTCAAAAGAAGTAGATAGAAGTTTAAAAGAAACATTGATTTATATTAAAGATATCGAAAACATTCACGGACAACAGATTTGAGTTTTAGAAAAAAAAAAAAAAAAAAAATGAACGATAAAAACATACATACACACACTTGATTAATTAATGTTAATACTTGTAATGAGGCAAAAAAGAAAAAAAAAAGAAAGAAATGTGTAATCTATATTTTCATATTTTTTTTTCAGTAAGTACTAACGTCATCTCCATCGATATCCATAGTTATCTAATAAATAAAGATGCGAAAATACAATTGTTGAGAAAAAGTAGGTTGCGGCACCTCGTGAAAAGAGTACAAACGGCGATTCGGAGAATATCGTATAATCGCGAACGCGGAAAATCAATGATCGTAGGAAGGCGCGTGGCAACGTTCTCTCTCTCTCTCTCTCTCTCTCTCTCTCTCTCTCTCTCTCTCTCTCTCTCTCTCTCTCTCTCTCTCTCTCTCTCTCTCTCTCTCGCTCTTGGACGATGTGGTAGCCCATTGCGTCACACAAGTGGAATTAAATCAAATAAGCAATTTAGAGGAGCAATGCGATTAAGTCAACGATTTATGGCATTTGATATAATACGGCTTCTCCTGGTACTTGAGGGTTAGACGAAGTCGAATTAACTATCGAATAAATTTTACAAGCGATTTGTCTACCTACAAGATGCATTCCCTTAGCCTTCCGACTGGTTCTTTTTCGGATCGATAGAATTGCTTGTACGTTATTAGAAATGTCTGCCAACAGAATTTGCACGTGTTAGAACGAGCTAAGACGTGCTGAACGGAGAAATCGTTTTTTTGGCAATCATTTTATTCATTCTCTTTCATATTTCTTTCAACGTAACGTTGAAATTTTATTACACGTCGCGTATGCGACAACCAGACGAAAATCGTAAGAACGAAATATATATATATATATATATATATATATATATATATATATATATATAATATAAGCATGAGATTAAGAACGAAGCGTGATGCTCGACGATGATATTTGGCCGTGCTCTTGTCGCAGGAGATGCAGCTGTTAAGAGAAAAGCAGCGTGCCGTGAAGCTCTGGAAAAGAAATAACGAAAAAGCTCGAGGAACGTCATCTTGCGAGTTGCAATCGTTGAATGTAAGGATGCGCAGGCTCGCGACCTCGTTTCCTTCGAACACGTCGTCGTCGTCGTCATCGTCGTCATCGTCGTCATCGTCGTCGTCGTCGTCCTTGTCAAAGAAGCCCAGTCGTCGTTCGAGAAATAGCACTCGGGGAAGATTTTCGTGTGCCCGAACATAGCGAATTTTTCAGCAGTGCGGAGCGTAATAGAAAAAAAAGGAAAGGAAAGGAAAGGAAAGGAAAGGAAAGGATCAGAGAAAGAAAAAAAAGAGAAGCGTCAGAGAAGAACATGGAAAAAAATGGACGAAAAGAAAAACGGCGTGCAGATTGTAAAAGTTTACCTCGAACAATGGTTGTAACCGGCCATTGGGAAGACTCGAGCCTCTTACAACACCACATGTTTACAGCTTCTTTATATTAAGCCTGACACGAAAAGGTGTGACTTCGTGTTCTCTCCTTTTAACTAATACTCGAGGACGACGATGAAGGAGAAACGACGTTTTTCTTTTCTTTTCTTTCCTTTTTTTTTAGTTTTTTTGTCTTTTCCTTTTTTTTTTTTTTTTTTTTTAATCCCTCTCACGAAGAGACAAACTACGATGAAATAGGTAAAAGAAAAGAAAGAAAAGGACAAAAGGTAAAGACAAAGACGAAGACGAAGACGAATGTAGAAGAAGAAGAAGAAGACGACGACGA